TGATGCACTATTTCTTTTAAAATGTTTCCTTGGTTCCTTAAAAGTAAGTGTGAAAAGATGCTGTTTTTGCTCAGGCTATTTTAGAAGTGCAGTTCTGTTTGGGACATGGACTTTAACAGATTAGATTACTTCTGCCATCTTTTACCAGTGGTATCTGAAACGATATTGGATAATAATGCCAGTGCCAAAGGTCACAATGTCTAGTATGGTAAGTTGTTGCTAAATTTGTACATGGTTCATGTCTTACAATAGTAAGCATGTTCTATTTCCGAGTTTATAACTTAACTTTGTACCTAGGGAATACTGTTTCAGAAATATATTTTGTTGTCATTGTTGTTTGACTTCTCTTCTGCTTCACAGAAAAGAATAAGCAGTTGATACTGCCTCCAATCCATCAAGTTAGGGGTTAATTTTAGTCAGTAAAATCAAGCAAGACGAAGGTCTGTTGATTCCTGGGACATTTTGTCATTTTCTCCTTCCTAAGTTAGACATCCTGACCACCCTAATAGCCAAACGAAACAGATACCAGCAGTTTCAAGTCATTTATAATTGTAATCTGACAAGTTCTTTTGAGAAAAATCACCATAGGCATATTCAGTCAATGAGTTGCATAAGACATATGCCCAAGTGTGTGTATTCTTTTTGTAGTGATTCCTGTCCCTTTAAGCCACTGCCGTGAGCGTATTTTGGGTAGCAGTTTTGGATGTAACCATAGGGATTGGCAAAAAAAGAGACGGGTGTATGGGCGGGGGGGACCATCTCAGTTGAGCCATTGACATAAAATGACCACAGGCCTCAGCTGTCCTCTCTCAGAGAATATCTGCCAATCAGAGCCATTCTAGGGGAGGAAATTTTTCCTGACTTCAATAGTCAAGAAAAAAACTGCCCCTTGACACCCATTATTTGGCTACATTTTACAGAAGCTGTGACCTTAAATGTGACTAGGCATGCTCTGTTTTTCTTGAGAGCAATGCTTAAATTATTGGCTTGTGTTTTTATCTTTTTTCCAGTTTTATGAAGTGATTCCAACCGATAAACTGTCCTCCTTTGAGAATAAGTTGGTTTTGAAAGCCCAAGGTACTGATGGCCGAGAAAACTGTCTGCTGACTTTTAAGCTTAGCACATTTTGCTGGCATTC